CACAGGGTGGGCAAATACGTTCCAAACCGGAAACGTAGGTAATCAGAGATTGCAGAGCTCACCTCAACGAATGCTGTCTTTATGTAAGGCAAAGTCACACAATTAACCAACAAAAATATACATGTACACCCAATATATGCAATTTTGATCTGATACTTTGGAATAGACCTTTATAAAAACTTCAAACTATTTCTTCAATCTTCATCATGAAAATGTCATTAAAATCCAGCATCTTAAGCACGTTTGAGAGTTTTCTTCCTTTGACGCATCATGTGGCAAGTTTGGTTTTTATAACACTTACACCCAGCAGACACGCAACGTTGTTTCAACGTTGAAAGGAGGTGGAATATAGGTTGCAACGTTGATCAACTATATTTCAAAGTTAAAACAACGTTGAGGTTTCAACGTGGAATCCTCAACCTTTTTTCAACGTTGAAACAACGTTGAAGCTGCAACATATTTTCAACTATATTTCAACATTAAAACAACGTTGAGGTTTCAACGTGGAATCCTCAATCTTTTTTCAACGTTGAAACAACGTTAAAGCTGCAACATATTTTCAGCGTTGAATGTTCGTCGATATTTCAACGTTGAAACAAAATTGAAGCTGCAACATATTTTCAACGTTGAATGTTTGCCGATATTTCAACGCTGAAACAACGTTGAAGCTGCAACATATTTTCAACTATATTTCAACGTTAAAACAACGTTGAGGTTTCAACGTGGAATCCTCAATCTTTTTTCAACGTTGAAACAACGTTGAAGCTGCAACATATTTTCAGCGTTGAATGTTCGTCGATATTTCAACGTTGAAACAACATTGAAGCTGCAACATATTTTCAACGTTGAATGTTCGCCGATATTTCAACGCTGAAACAACGTTGAAGCTGCAACATATTTTCAACGTTTGATGTTCGTTGATATTTCAACGTTGAAACAACGTTGAACCTGCAATATATTTTCAACGTTGAATGCTCGTCGATAATTAATGTTGAAGCTGCAACAAATTCTCAACGTTTGATGTTCGTTGATATTTCAACATTGAAACAACGTGGAAGCTGCAACATATTTTCAACGCTGAGTATTTTCTGATATTGCAGAGTTGAAACAAGGTTTAAAAATACGAATTTGACTGTTTGTTGATTTCAGCGTTGAAACAACGTGGAAGATGCAACATATTTTCAATTTTAGGAAAGTTAGAAAAATTTAACGTTGGAACAACAGGTAAAGAGTATTGAGCACTTTAGTTTTTAAGGTCAGAATATAATAAAGGTGTCTTTAACTTATAATCCATGCGATTTTTCGCAATATACACACAGCTGTGTGCATTGTTAGAAAATATTATATATATAAATATACATAATAAATGAAACGCATGCATTATGAATTGATTTACTCAAAAGAGTTGTGCCATTTACCGCTAATACCATTATAAAATTTTAAATATGAGTTTATATGAAGTATGGCATCTACGTTTAACACTTCATTATCATTATGTTTCAAAAAAGTTTTTTTTTTTGTTAGATTGTGAATTTTTTTTTTTTTACATATCTAAAAGATATGTTAAATATAAGCTTTTAATAAATAATGACATCTTTATCCAACATCTCACTGTAATTCCATGTTACTATAGAATTACTAAAAATAATTGCAACGTATTTATTCGAATTAATGTTCTAAAAGTTAGGCTCATATAGATCCGTGCCGATCTTGTGCAGATCGTTATACAGAGCGAATCTAAGAAGTCTTATTTTATAAGATTGTGCTTTTGTTGTGTGTATTAATTCTATAATCTTTCTTTTTACAAAATATTAAAAAATCAAATAAACACATAACAATTTTTACACTGACAATTAACCCCGGTCATGTAGCATTACTTAAGATCCACTCCCTAAAAACCTTCGAGATATCAGATAAGGAGTGCCTCTCTCTTAGTTGGTCAGTTTCAGTGTCAGGATAACCTTGTTATGCAATTTTCTTGCTGGGCAGAGTATAGCTGTTTGCAGCTTAACTAGGTCAACATTTGAACTCAACTGATAAACAAGAAGTGCGCGTCTCCTTGCTGTTCATATTTAATGTGTTTTCAAGCTATATACACAAGGATTAAGACTGGAATATCAACTTCTGCTCAGTAAGTATTATTTCCTTTACATGGATTTAAGAAATTAAGTTTTTTAGTATCTGTACATCATGTAATTCTTGTTATATAAGTATATTTGAAATGTGAGTGAAATGCACATCCTTGGCTCGTGTATTACCGTAAATCTGGAATTTTTTACGTCGATTTAATTTTGCGAATTCAATTTTTACGTTTCAAAATTTTGCGAATTACCACTGCTTTGTTTACATTTTCTTATTGGTAATTTATTTTAAAGAAAAAATTTTTTGCGAATGCATATGAACTTGCAAATATGCTAAAAATTTATCTACAGCAAAAATTTATGTGTTTTGTTGATATTCATTTAGTTATTAAATATAAGTATACTAATATATTATACAATTTATTTAATTGTAGTTCGTCGTAAGGTTCAATAAACCAGTGGTGCAGGGAAATGATTGTATAGTCAGCCTTGATTGCATCAGATTCTTCGCCCGTGAAAATTATACAAAGGAATGCAACATTTTGTAAGTACGAATTTTAAGATGAAGTCAACTATAATTCTTTTAATCATGTTAATTACCTGAATATATTCCTTTGCCTGATTCTTTTAAATCATTCATGCATTTTTATTTTGATCGTTTGAAATAACGTGTTACGTACATTGTATCGAACAATTGACTTTATCATCTTTATTTCTTTTATTAATAGGCTTTTGATTTAGTGGATATATTCTCCTGTTCATTTCTTTCATTCGTGGGACTTAACTATATGCGTGATTAAAATCAATGCATCCGCCACTTTGTGGAACTTAGTAGTGTAGAATAGACGCTAACTTTGAAGAACCTGGATGTAATTACTGTGAACCCCTTCTCACTAGGAATATAAATTTTGTCAATCAGTGATTTTTGAGATTCAGTGAATGAATCCGAATTTGTGTTTGTCTTTAAAATACAGACTAAAATAAATTCTCTCACAATCGTAATACTGGATTACAACATATATAAATATCACGCAACTTGAATAAAAATTTTTATTAGAATTTGAAATGTAGCCTATTTGTTTATAAAGCAAAATATAATATGAATTCAACGTGATTTCAACCAAATATCAACGTTTCTACAACCGAAAAATTTCAACTAAATCTCAACCTAATTACAACCAATGTTCACTTTTGTTCAATGTTGATATCTGACGTTGAAACAACGTTGAAGCTTCAACGTTGCATCCACTTTCATTTGCAACTAAAAATCAACTAAAAATTCAACCCATTTCCAACGTTTATTCAACGTTGAAAATTGACGTTGAAACAGCGTCTTGTCTCAACGTTGCCTCAATTTTCATATGCAACCAAAATTCAACGTTGATTCAACAGTGAATCAACGTTGAAATGCCTACTGGGTAGTTTCTTGGTAATAGACCTGCACCCATAACTTTAACATTGTCCATTATCTGAAAATGTATGTCGAATTCAGCATCCGAAGCAAGTCCATAAGTGTGCATCCTAAGATGTATCATCCATGCAAGTTTGCACAACATAGGGCTCACAGTTACTTGGAAATGAACCTGCATAAAAATTTAACCTCTACACTAATCCAGAAAATGTAGGTCAGAATCAGCATCCGACACCAGCCTGGTAGAATGCATCCTTAGATGTATCATCCATGCAATTTTGGTCATAAAAGAGCTCATAGTTACTTGGACATGAATCCTGCTACAACTTTAACCTATTCACTCATGCGGAAAATGTAGGTCAGATTTAGCATCCGAAGCATGTCTGGTAGTATGCATCCTAAGATGTACTTTTCATGCAAGTTTAGTCATTAGAGAGCTCATATTAACTTGGAAATGAAACCTGCACCAAAAACCTTAAACCTGTTCACTCATGTGGAAAATGTTGGTCACATTCAGCATCCGAAGCAAGCCTGGTAGTGTGGATCCTTATAATGTGTATTATCCATACAAGTTTAGTGAAAATAGGGCTTATAGTTACTTGGAAATGAGTCCTGCACCAAAAACCTGTTCACTCATGCGGAAAATGTAGGTCAGATTCAGCATACGAAGCAAGCCTGGTAGTGTGCATCCTTAGATGTATCATCCATGCAAGTTTGGTCAACATAGGGCTTATAGTTACTTGGAAATGAGACCTAGACCAAAAACTGCCCCCCAAAAAGTTAACCAGCTTCAAAAACATTAACCTGGTCATTCCTTTGCTAGAATTGCAGCTTCTGAAACTTTGACTGGTACCATGAAACACACTACAAGGATCTTTCATGCATATCTAATCAATATAGGACATAGAAGTACTTAAAAAGAATACCACTCCAAAAACTTTAACCTTAACCTGGAACGCCGATGCCGAGGGTATTACATAAGCTCCCCCTACTTCGTTGAGATGAGCTCTTGAAAAACCAGAGACATTAATGTAAAATTCATTAGATACAAAGATAAAGTCCGAGTTTATGGAAACACACGAAACTTAAAATCTCACAACCGAAACCAAACAAAACAAACTGGACCCATCTACATCAACAAAGCTTTGACGTCCAGACGGTCTGAAATATATGAAAAAAAAAACTCGCGAAGTAGTAGAAATAAAAAAACCATGACACCTAATGACTTATGACGGTCGAATTTTTGCGAAACTCCGAGGTCATCATGGGAAGAAAATATTGATAAACACAACAGAGGACCTAGAGTGTTTCCAAGATGACAGCGTATTTTACTATTCAATGTTCTATGAAACTGATTTTAATACCATTTTCTTATTTAAACAAGACAAAACTCGTGGCGCTAGAGAGCTACATGTATTTCAGTAAGACTAGTGAAGAGATGATTATTCAGTTGCAGGTATGGCTTTCCAGAAAATCTGAAATTTTATTTAAACCTACACGTGGGCCGGTCCCCCTCCCCCTCCCCCCAAAAAAAAACATTATGCATTTCCTTTCGCTTAGTCATCTTGTAAAGTATGTAACATGTCTTCTCATGGCGGTAGGGGAGCAACACTTTATGTTTTCTTAAACCTTCTCATGTGAACGACACCAATTTTCTCCACACATTCTGAAGGAACATGTGACGTTGGGTCTATATTCACTTCCTCAAATTTTTCGGCAAATCCCCATGCTGTAGAATATCGTGAAATATGACGTTCTCGTATTTCCTCCTTGGTCAGATCTATAATTCGGGCTCTGTCTTTAAGCTTCGTGATATTTATCTGTACCACCTCTCTAACTCTTTGATACTCATTTGTTAGGCCTCCAAGCCTCTCTATGCCATCAAGTGTTTTACAGCAGGAAATATACCTCGATTCCTGACCTTTACTCCCCCTTTCTACGTGTTGCTGTAGACTTATTCCTGAAAATATGTTCTTTGGGCGCAGTCCATTTTGACAATTTTCATCAAATCGAAGGATTCTGTAAATATATTCACTAAGCTCCTGCTTTGTGCCTCTCTCATCATTTATAACTGGTTCTGATGTAATAGAATTTTCGTCGTCGCTGTTCTCTTCATCATTTTTAATTTCCTGAAATCTCTGCTCATCTAATGCATCAGAATTTTCTTTGCTGTTCCCATCATCCGTGTAAATCCCATGTGATTCATCTTTATCCACTTCCTGTGTACTCCCAAAGATTGGAAATGTTGACCAATCTCTTTCTTCTATCGTCTGTTTCTTTTCTTTCGAATACTTTATTGAACCTCTACCAATGCGCGAGTCGGTCTTTTCATTACTACTTCCTGTAGCAGTTTCCTTGATAGGGGTACTTGGCGAGTATGAGAAATCGCTTTGCAGTGATTCGCTTTGCAATGATTGAGTAATCAAATTCTTATAAATATCTATTACTTTCAATTCCTTGTTCAACTTTTCATTGTGGGCCTTGGATCTTAAAAAATAACGTCTCTGGACCGATCTTCTCCGTAGTTTTGTCTTTGTTTCTCTCTTTTCGTTGTCTGATCCTGTTTTCAAAAATAAAATGTTTCTTGATAATTAAAGGTTTCAAATTCAATTGTGTAGAGATAGCAAGATATTCTTTTTGCTAGCGCTCTCGAGCGCTAGCAACTACGTTAGTCCAAATTCCTGGAATACGCATGCTCGGCTTCATGGTCATGCATTCTGGGAAAACTTTAAAGGTGGCAGAGTATAGTTTCGGATTAAGAACCGGTCAAAAAATAGAGAAACCTTAGGTTTGAATGCATATTATAGGTAATTTTATAGCTAGAATATTTTATGGGTGCATTTGGAGGGAATTGGTGGAATTGAATATTTTTATTGAAATATGACACTTTAGTGTCACTACTACTGTATATGGGATATGGACTAGAAGTACGAAACTAAGATCACAAAATCACTTCCGGTATTTCACCAGAAAAACGGGATGGGTTCAAAAGATGAATTTTAGCATGAAAAAGCGGTGATTGAGCCATTATCTATTGCTGTTCAGTGGTATGTACAAATGTTGCTATGCAATTTTTGTGGTAGCTTAGGTCATTAGCACGGGCCTAAAAGCAGTTGCGGGTGCGGCGAAATAGTGAAAATGGGCTTGATTTACATGAAATTTGGAGATTGTCCCTGTGCCATCATTATGGGTCATTGTGTAAGTTGTACATGTTTTATTCCTAAAAGCTTCAAATTCCTCTAGGGACTTATCATACCTCTGCCACCTGTGAAAACTACTATAGATAGACCATACGATAACAATTTCGTAGTACCGTTATTTATTGTATATCTTACACTTTAAAAATTACTATATAGGCCTAATTGTAATACTTCAAATTTTCCCTTTTTTCTGACGGAAAAGCCCGAGTCATTATCTGATTGTTCTATAGAAAGACAAGAGAGTTTTTTTTACGTCTAAGCAAAAGATTATATCAAATACTCTTTTTTCAAGACCTCACTATAGTAAAAATATATTTTAAATGCTCGCAATCATGGCAATGTAGGCCAAGCAAAAAAATCCATAAACAAGGATTTACACTAAAAATTTCGAACAAATACATTATTTATTTTTTTTTAAATTCTGTGCATGGCTTTTAACCTAATAGTTCTTGACAAAGATGACCCAACGGGCGAAGCTACTTCACATTTGGAACTCTCTGGTAACTCCAATGGGTCAACACAAAATCTCCCCCCCCCCTTCTCGTTTCTTTACCTACGTGTCTATAAAACACACTTATCACACCCCAGCATCGATAAACAATTAAAAAATTTAGCAAAATAAATCATTTAATCACGGACCTTCCTTTCAGTGTTTAAAAGTTGCTACGGCGCTAGCTCACCTATTTTTTTAAAAAGATAAACTTGTTATATATTAACACGTAGAATAAATAAAATATGAAAAAAGACATTCACGGACAGTGTTTGAATATCATTCCTAGTTCTTCTACAATTATTTAATAAATAAAAATTAAATAAATATACCATGTTCTGAGGAACACACCCAAAAAACTTAACAAAATGCCCTTTATTTCTAGAGATGTAAAATTTTAAGCTCACCTGAGCCGAAGGCTCAAGTGAGCTTTTCTGATCAAAATTTTTCCGTCGTCTGTCGTTGGCGTTGTCGTTGTCGTTGTTGTCGTCGTTGGCGTTGTCGTTGTCGTAAACTTTTCACATTTTCATCTTCTTCTCTAGAACCACTGGGCCAATTTCAACCAAATTTGGCACAAAGTATCCCTGGGTGAAGGGAATTCAAGATTGTTCAAATGAAGGGCCACGCCCTCTTCCATGGGGAGATAATTATGAATTAGTGAAAAATTATTAGCATTTTTAAAAAATCTTCTTCTTAAGAACCACTGGGCCAGGAAAGATGAAACTCATGTGGAATCATCCTCAGGTAGTGTAGATTCAAGTTTGTTCAAATCATGACCCCCGGGGCTAGGGTGGGGCCAAAATGGCCGACCAAAGTTTTACATAGGAATGTATAGGAAAAATCTTTAAAAATCTTCTTCTCAAGAACCACTGGGCCAGGAAAGATAAAGCTCATGTGGAATCATCCTCAGGTAGTGTAGATTCAAGTTTGTTCAAATCATGACCCCCGGGGCTAGGATGGGGTCAAAATGGCCGACCAAAGTTTTACATAGGAATATATAGGAAAAATCTTTAAAAATCTTCTTCTTAAGAACCACTGAAATTGGAAAAATGAAACTCATGTGGAATCATCCTCAGGTATTGTAGATTCAAGTTTGTTCAAATCTTCCGGGGGCTAGGGTGGGGCCAAAATGGCCGACCAAAGTTTTACATAGGAATATATAGGAAAAATCTTTTTAAAATCTTCTTCTTAAGAACCACTGGGCCAGGAAAGATGAAACTCATGTGGAATCATCCTCAGATAGTGTAGATTCAATTTTGTTCAAATCATGACCTCTGGGGCTAGGGTGGGGCCAAAATGGCTGACCAAAGTTTTACATAGGAATATATAGAAAAAATCTTTAAAGATCTTCTTCTCAAGAACCACTATGCCAGGAAAGATGAAACTCATGTGGAATCATCCTCAGGTAGTGTAGGTTCAAATTTGTTCAAATCATGACCCCCGGAGCTAGGGTGGGGCCAAAATGGCCGACCAAAGTTTTACATAGGAATATATAGGAACAAGAGGCCCATGGGCCACATCGCTCACCTGAGAAGCTTTGACCATTCTGTTCTTTACCAGATTTCACCCTTGTTATACATAATGCATCCCCAACCTAACCCACTGATCATAATTTAGACATTTTGAAATCTACACTACGCCATGATCCTTCCATGGACACATATGTTTCAGCTTTTTTGGCCCAGTGGTTCCTGAGAAGAAGATTTTCAAAGATTTTTCCTATATATTTCTATGTAAAACTTTGATTCCCTATAATGGCCCCGCCCTTCCCCCCGGGGTCATGATTCCTACAATATAGAATTTACACTACCCCAGAATGCTTCCACATAAGTTTTAGCTTTTCTGGCCCAGTGGTTCTTGAGAAGAAGATTTTCAAAGATTTTTCCTATATCTTTCTATATAAAACTTTGATACCCTATTGTGGCCCCGCCCTTCCCCCGGGGTCATGATTTGAACAATTTACAATTTACACTATACCAGGATGCTTCCATATAAGTTTCAGCTTTTCTGGCCCAGTGGTTCTTGAGAAGAAGATGTTCAAAGATTTTTCCTATATATTTCTATATAAAACTTTGATTCCCTATTGTGGCCCCGCCCTTCCCCCGGGGGTCATGATTTGAACAATTTAGAATTTACATTATACCAGGATGCTTCCACATAAGTTTCAGCTTTTCTGGCCCAGTGGTTCTTGAGAAGAAGATTTTCAAAGATTTTCCCTATATCTTTCTATATAAAACTTTGATACCCCATTGTGGCCCCGCCCTTCCCCCGGGGGTCATGATTTGAACAATTTAGAATCTACACTATACCAGGATGCTTCCACATAAGTTTCAGCTTTACTGGCCCAGTGGTTCTTGAGAAGAAGATTTTTTAATGACCCCACCTATTTTTGTCTTTTCTTGATTATCTCCCCTTACGAGGGGATATATCCCTTCATTTTAACAATTTAAATTCCCCTTTACCCAAGGATGCTTTGTACCAAGTTTGGTCAAAATTGGCCCAGTGGTTCTTGAGAAGAAGATTTTCAAAGATTTTTCCTATATATTTCTATGTAAAACTTTGATTCCCTATAATGGCCCCGCCCTTCCCCCCGGGGTCATGATTCCTACAATATAGAATTTACACTACCCCAGAATGCTTCCACATAAGTTTTAGCTTTTCTGGCCCAGTGGTTCTTGAGAAGAAGATTTTCAAAGATTTTTCCTATATCTTTCTATATAAAACTTTGATACCCTATTGTGGCCCCGCCCTTCCCCCGGGGTCATGATTTGAACAATTTAGAATCTACACTATACCAGGATGCTTCCATATAAGTTTCAGCTTTTCTGGCCCAGTGGTTCTTGAGAAGAAGATTTTCAAAGATTTTTCCTATATATTTCTATATAAAACTTTGATTCCCCATTGTGGCCCCGCCCTTCCCCCGGGGGTCATGATTTGAACAATTTAGAATTTACATTATACCAGGATGCTTCCACATAAGTTTCAGCTTTTCTGGCCCAGTGGTTCTTGAGAAGAAGATTTTCAAAGATTTTTCCTATATATTTCTATATAAAACTTTGATACCCCATTGTGGCCCCGCCCTTCCCCCGGGGGTCATGATTTGAACAATTTAGAATCTACACTATACCAGGATGCTTCCACATAAGTTTCAGCTTTACTGGCCCAGTGGTTCTTGAGAAGAAGATTTTTTAATGACCCCACCCTAATTTTGTTTTTTCTTGATTATCTCCCCTTGCGAGGGGATATATCCCTTCATTTTAACAATTTAAATTCCCCTTTACCCAAGGATGCTTTGTACCAAGTTTGGTCAAAATTGGCCCAGTGGTTCTTGAGAAGAAGTCGAAAATGTGAAAAGTTTACAGACGGACGGACGGACGGACGGACGACGGACAAAATGTGATCAGAAAAGCTCACTTGAGCCTTCGGCTCAGGTGAGCTAAAAATCTTTAAAATTCTTCTTCTTAAGAACCACTGGGCCAGGAAAGATGAAACTAATGTGGATTCATGTGGATTCATCCTCAGTTAGTGAAGATTCAAGTTTGTTCAAATCATGACCCCTGGGGCTAGTTTTGGGCCAAAAATGGCTGACCATAGTTATAACATAAGGATATATAGGGAAACTTTTTAAAATCTTCTTTTCAAGTACTTCAAAGCCATGATTAGTGATATTTTTCTATTTATATGGAATCATCCTCAGGTAGTGTAGATTGTACATTGTTCAAATCATGACACCAAGGAGGGTTAAAATTCAAGCCCCCCCCCCCCCAGTTAACTTTCAGTTTGATCTGATATGTGCTTTTTCCTAGTAGATGTGCTCAGGTGAGCGATATGGCCCTTGGGCCTCTTGTTACACTTACCTCTTCGTTTTAATCCTAAACTTACAGGTTCAGTTATTTCATACTCAGTTGTAGCATCCATGATTTCAATATATCAGAAACATCTTAAGGGTCCTCCACACACTAATAACAAGCATATCTAATCAGCCTTTAAAACTGGTCAGGAATTAAAGCATAATTTATACTGATTTTTAAAAATATTAATTTTACAAGTTTCAAGATAAATCAATTTTCAATACAGACTCGGCTGATTAGCCTGAAAGTATAAATAACCTACAAGTTTCTCGTCATATCGGCACCTGTTGTTTACGAATTATTATTTAACATAATCCTTGACGTCTGTTGTTCTTTTATTGAAAAAAAAAACCGCCCATTGTTTTTCTATTGGTCATTCGTGTTCATTGTTTATGATAAGGGTGTCCCTCTCAGTGTATTGAATACTTTCCCTCAGCAAAATGCTTATCTCTAAAGCGTTTGTAAGACTCTCTTACAAGCAGTGCCAGGCATATCGTCAGTGCACAAACGAGATACAACTGGAGGTAAAAGTATTTTCTCTCTATAATGGTCATTTTAATAAAAAGTTCACTTTTTTGTCTTTTGATCATCAGAAGGATATTGAAATAACGAACAGTCTTCGATATCAAAGTCCATAAAACAATACAAAACAGGAGCAGAGCAAACACGGACCTCCGAAAATTCAGAGGTGGGATCAGTTTCCATGGAGGAGTCAGCATCCCCTGCCAATAAATAATACAGACCTTCTGACTGTACAGTATATTTGTCTCAGTGTTAAATTGCATTGGCTAACAAGGTCATTGTATCAAACAACATAAAATTTACGAAATGATGACTTTAAACGAGACTGCTAATATTCTTGTTTCATCAACTTGCTTGTTAATAATTTATCTCGTTTTAGAAATTGTTCATACATAGACCATGTTCTTGCGTATCGAGTCAACTGAGATATATACACTCCGTATAAGGGTGATAAAGGTATATTGCTGCATAAGTAAAGGAAGATGACGATAGCAAAGTTAGTCATCACGTATATCATATGGCTTGGTTGTTAGACTATCATTAATGTTGGGTTTTTTTTCAAGTAAAATTTCAAAGTGTGAAACAGAGGTGTCAGAATATGTGGTATTTTTTTTATCTCAAGCTCACCAGGATATATCGTATCGACATAGGAATGGAAATATCCATTGCTAATTGACAAAACGTCGTCGATATACCTAAATGTCGAGTTGAAGGCCACAGCAAGTGTTTTCTTCTTTCCACGCATTAGATTTTTCACAAATTCTGCTTCATATGAATATAAAATTAGGTCTGCTAATAACGGAGCGCAATGTGTACCCATGACAATTCCAATGTTGGAATACCTGGTCTTACGAAACCACATCGATATTGTCAATCAGAAACTAAAGCATCTTTTTAACGTCAACTTCAGAGGACTTGATTGTGAAATCAGAATTTGTTTTTAATTACAAAATAAGTTTGCAAATGACCAATGACCAGGAGAGTAAATTAACAAGTTCCATTTTTATTGATAAAAACAGCTATCAATGATATCTAAAAGCCTGGATTTTAATTTATCGTGGGAATGGTTGTGTATAAAGTTGAAAAGTCGTTAGGAATAATAGGAAAAACTAGATGAGATCTCGTTGCGAGCAACGAGTAGGTCTTCCGTTGAATTTCTCGATAAGATGAGATGTGATTTTGACTGAGTTATTCGTTAAAACAGAATGACATTAAGTTTTCCTTCATTAACTTTAAAGTTTCTGTTTTTATCACGATATTCTGAACATCTTTTGTTCAATATGGCTTATAAAAATACTCCCTTTTCAAGACGTAAAGCATAAAAAATATGTCATTTTGACCCCTTGTAACCACTTATTACGTAATATATGATCAAAATTTTATAATATATTGTTGGAAATCGTTGCAATAAATACTTTTGCTTCAGTAATGTATAACAAAATATTGATCATTAGAAAGTTATAGATAAAAGACTTTGGCCCCTCTGAGCCCCTAAATTGAGGGGTCAGCCCCATTTTCTTGATATGAAATCAAAGGTCTTGTGATTTTGAAGATTTTTTGTTCAACACTTATTCAGAGATTTCTATTCGTTGTAGAGATATACTAAACAAGAATTTTTAGGGGCCATTCCTACAAGTCCTTAATGGGGCCGTTTTATAAAAATCCAAAGTATGAATATTGTTTAAAACATTACTCTGATCATCTTTTGTTCAATACTGCTCATCAAAATATTCCCCCTTTTCGAGATATAAAGCGTCAAAGATTTGACATTCTGGCCCCTTCTGACCCCTTATTACGTAACATATGATCAAAATTGTATCATATATTGTTGCAAATCGTCAAGATAAATACTTTTGCTTCAGTAATGTATAACAAAATATTGATCATTAGAAAGTTATAGATAAAAGACTTTTGGCCCCTCTGAAACCCTAATTTGAGGGGTCAGCCCCTTTGTATTGATATCAAATGAAAGGTCTTGTGATTTTGAAGATTTTTTGTTCAATACTTATTCAGAGATTTCTATTCGTTGTGGAGATACACTAAACAAAATTATTTAGGGGCCACTCTTACAAGTCCTTAATGGGGCCGTTTTATAAAATTCAAAGTATGTATAATGTTTAGAACATTATTCTGACCATCTTTTGTTGAATACTGGTTATCAAAATATTCCCCCTTTTCGAGATATAAAGCGTCAAAGGTTTGACATTCTGGCCCCTTGTGAGCCCTTATTACGTAACATATGACGTAAATGTAACGTAATTGTATAATATTATTCTGGTAATCTTTTGTTCAATATATAACGTAAATATATAATATTATTCTGGTAATCTTTTGTTCAATATTGCTTATCAAAATATCCCCCCTGTTTGAGATATAAAGCGTCAAAGATTTGACATTCTGGCCCTTCGTGACCCCTAATTACGCAAGATATGCTTAAAAGTTTATAATATATTGTTCCAAATGGTCTAAAATTAAATAATATCGAAAATTCGAGCAGAAAAAAATGATAAAATTTTTTGGTCATATGGGGGATCGAACCCGGGTCGCCCGCGTGACAATCCAACGCGCTAACCATTCGGCCACTGGGATCGCCGCTTCGCGTTTTCAAATGCAAATATCTCGAGATTGGCTTTTTCGATTTTCAAACAAATTACATATTTCGCTTCTGCAAAAGGGTCTCTATTCAAATCAAATACAAAAATATTAAAAAAGAAAAAATGAAAAATTTCGTTTTTTAAATTCGCTTCCGGTATCAACCGGAAGTACTGACAACGCACGAAAAGGCGATTCTGCAACGCTATAAATCATGAACTATCATCTCCAATTAATCTTCAGTTCATATCTTAAGCAGTTTTCGCTACTAAATCAAGACAAAATTGCACTTTAAAATCAGAAAATTCCCCTTATCTCACGACCGGAAGTGACGTCATAAAAACGCTTAAAAACCTATCAAGATCAATTGATAAGCTATTACATATGAAAATTTCATGCTAATCGGCTGAGCCGTTTCTGAGAAATCGCGTGCACAAAATCGGTTGGAAGAATAATAATAATAACTAGATGAGATCTCGTTGCGAGCAACGAGTAGGTCTTCCGTTGAATTTCTAGATAAGATGAGATGTGATTTTGACTGAGATTATTGTTTAAAGAGAATGACATTGAGTTTTCCCTAGTTAAAGTTTCTCATTTTTATCACGATATTCTGAACATCTTTTGTTTGATAAGGCTTATGAAAATACTCCCCCTTTTCGAGATATAAAGCATAAAAAATACAGCATTTTGGTCCCTTGCGACCCTAATTACGTAACATATGATAAAAATATTATCATATATTGTTGCAAATCGTTAAGATGAATACTTTTGCCTCAGTAATGTATAACAAAATATTGATCATTAGAGAGTTATAGATAAAAGAATATTGACCCCTCTGAGCCCCTAATTTGAGGGGTCAGCCCTTTTTTCTTGATATTAAATGAAAGATCTTGTGATTTTGAAGAGTTTTTGTTCAACACTTATTCAGAGATTTCTTTTTGTTGTGGAGATATGTTAAATGGAAATATTTAGGGGCCACTCCTACAAGTCCTTAATGGGGCCGTTTTACAAAAATTCAAAGTATGCATATTGTTTAGAACATTATTCTGACCATCTTTTGTTCAATATTGCTTATCAAAATTTTCCCCCTTTTTGAGATATAAAGCGTCAAAGATGTGAGGTTCTGGCCCCTTGTGACCCCTTATTACGTAATATATTATTAAAACATCATCATATATTGTTGCAAAACGGTAAGATAAATACTTTTGCTTCAGTAATGTATAACAAAATATTGATCGTTAGAGAGTTATAGATAAAAGAATATTGACCCCTCTGAGCCCCTAATTTGAGGGGTCAGCCCCATTTTCTTGATATCAAATGAAAGGTCTTGTGATTTTGAAGATTTTTTGTTCAACACTTATTCAGAGATTTCTTTTCGTTGTGGAGATATGCTCAATGAAAATATTTAGGGGCCACTCCTACAAGTCCTTAATGGGGCCGTTTTACAAAAATTCAAAGTATGCATATTGTTTAGAATATTATTCTGACCATCTTTTGTTCAATATTGCTTATCAAAATATTCCCCCTTTTTGAGATATAAAGCGTCAAAGATGTGACATTCTGGCCCCTTTTGACCCCTTATTACGCAAGATATGCTTAAAAGTTTATAATATATTGTTCCAATTGGTTTAAAATTTAAAAATATCGAAAAATCGAGCAGAAAAAATGATAAAATTTTTTGGTCACACGGGGGATCGAACCCGGGTCGCCCGCGTGACAATCCAACGCGCTAACCATTTAGCCATTGAGATCGCCGCTTCGCGTTTTCAAATGCAAATATCTCGAGATTGGCTTTTTCGATTTTCAAACAAATTACATATTTCGCTTCTGCAAAAGGGTCTCTATTCAATTCTGAAACAAAAATATTAAAAAAGAAAAGTTGAAAAATTGCGATTTTTAAATTCGCTTCCGGTATCGACCGGAAGTACTGACGAAGCACGGCAAGGCGATTCTGCAACGCTATAAGTCATGAACTATCAT